TGCACACTTTCTGCATAAAAGCCTTAAATTCTGACATTTTTACTGCATAAAACACAATATTTTACCCATATAGTTTCTTTAAAAGCTTAAAACATTTGCTCTGTCTTTTTTGCTCTCAAAAATTGACTTTCCAAGTCAATTCTCTGTCTTCACCCATTACAATGGAGTTAATTCAGCAATTTAATCCGGCACGATTGCTTTTCAGTGCAAATGAACTGTTGTCATATCAGGGAAAACAAATACTGCCTGATGCTCAGTTTATTAGGACAGAATTTGATGTGTGTTTTTAGTGCAGTGAGTATATTTGCACACTGAGAGTTGATCTAAGAAGACAAACAGCTCTGCAGCCGGAGCGTTTCACTGGGTTTTAACGCCATAATCAATTATGCATTTTCTTCTCGATTCTGAAATAGAAACAGTCTGTGAAATGGCACATTTAAAAGAAAGTGCTGCTGTCATGTGTGTGACATAACGCATTTATTATTTATGTCCAGCTCTAGATGCTTACATTAACATCTTATGTTTTTCTGGCTCAAAATATTAAAAAACAGGTCCCTGCAACATCAAAAACCATCTTTTTCAAAGGCCACTGTTAATGTTTTATTCAAATATGTTTTATTACAGTATGTCACTTTGAGTTTTAAGTTATTTAAAATTATCTTAAAAGACTAACAAAGGCTGCATTTTTTTATTATTAATTATTTAATGAAAAATACTGTAAAAACAGCAATATTGTTAATATTATTATGTTTTAACTTTTTCCAATTAAAAAATATGTAAATATTTTCATCATTGTTGACTTATACTCTGTATTTTTAGGACATTAATTACAGTATTTAATTGAAAATTACATCAAAATACAATGTGATAATTATCTTTACTGTCACCTATGATAAAATGAATGCATTAATGCTAAACAAAGACATTAATTCCTTAAAAAACATTTAATTTATTTATGTATACAGGGTGATTCAAAAAGAATACCACAACTTTGAAAATCTGTATTTAATCAAAGAAACATGATGGAACCTTGATTAGAATCAATATGAAGAGTTCTTAACTAGTTTTTTCAGTAGAAATCAAGTTCATGTTCGCTATGACCCCATCCAGACACTTACGTGACATCAACCCGATACTCGAACTCGTTCCACACTTTCTGTAGCATCTTGAGCGTAACAGTTTGGATAGCTGCAGCTATTCCTTCTTTTAGTTCCTAGATGTTAGCTGGTAGAGGTGGTCGAAACAACATATCTTTAACGAAAGATAATTACCCTAAGAAAATAAATCACCCTCAGAAAAAAATCACAGGGGGTGAATTTAGGGCTTCTTGGAGGACAGTGATGAAGTGCTCTGTCACGAGCTGCCTGGCAGCTGATTCATTGCTTTGGGTACCTTTAGTGCAAATAGGCACTTTCGTCGTTTCACTTCTGCCGATACTACTCGATAATATAAATAGCTTTTTTTTTGAGTAGTCGCCATCTTTGCAATAACAACAGAAATGAAGGTTATATGGGCCAACAGCACTCCTAGCCAGCAAATGAGCAACCAAATGAAACTTCAAAGCTTCCTTAAAGGGCACATAGGTTACCCTTTTTTCATATTTAATTTAAGTCTTTTGTGTGCCCAGTATGTGTCTGTACAGTTTCAGCTCAAAACAATCATCAGAGTAATTATTATAGATGTTTGAAGTGTCTGTATTATAGCTGGGAAAAGGTTGTTGCTGTTTTTTTGCACTGGGCCTTTGAGGCTAGTTATCTCCACCCACCTTTCCCACGTGTCTGTCAGCAACATGCCTCAATCGCCGCCCTCGGCTGCCTCAGGAAGCAGATCTCACGTAACGTTTGTGAGCAATACTACAGTAAGAACTTTACCAATCAGTATTCGATGCATTTTTTTGTGGAGTTGCAACAATGAGTTCACACACACAGCGAGGACACAGACAGACAGACACACACACACACACACACATACACAGAGAGACAGAGAGACACGCGGCTGTGGTGATGAAGTGAATCTGAAGTAAATGGCTATAGTTCATTACACATGTGCACTGTTTTAAAACATGTTAAACTTGTCAATCAATATTGGTGGGCGGGGGGACCGCACTCCCACGTCAATTTGTGGTCAATCTAAAAACCGATCCAATTGGTCCACCGTTTTTATGTTGATAAATATGAAGAAAAAAAAATGACTGGGTGTGTTTATTTCACCCCAATATGACAGTATATACACTATACTTACACACATGTCTGTCCAAACAGCTTGAAAAGTAGATTGAAGTCTCAACAACCCGTCCAAGACCACAGTGGAGTCATTCAAGAACACTGCGAAACATCAACATGTTTTTTGGCTGGATGGATTTTGTTTTTCCTGAGGATGTTTTGATTGTGTGGTATGTTTGGAAAGCTTTCAAATCTTTTAGAACACACATTTCACTCACCACCAGTGAGTCAGTAAATCAATTGGTCTGTCAATCAGTGAATCAAACAATTAGTCAGCCAACCAATCCATCAATCAATCAAATAAGTCAATCAATCAGTCAGTCATTAAATTAATCATCAAACAACCAGTTAATAAATTGGTTAATCAATTAATGAGTCAAACTGTCATTGAGTCACCCAATCAGTCAGCCAATAAATCAATCATACAGTCATTAAATCAATTGTCAACCAATCAATCTGTTGACCATTTGGTTAATCAATCAGTCAGTCAACCAACCAACCACTTGAACAATCAGTAATGCAACCACTCAGTCAACTAATCAATCAGTCAGTCAACCAATCATTCAGCCAACCAATCAGTCAGTCAACCAATCACTCGATCAGTCAGTCAACCAATCAATTGGTTAAAGTATCAATCAAACAATCAGTCAACCAATCAATCGGGCAGTAAGTTATTCAATCAATCAAACAGTCAACCAATCAGTCAGTCAATGAATCAAACAATCAACGAGTCAGCCAATCAATTAGTCGATCAATCTGTCAGTCAAACATTAAGTTAACCAATAAATCAATCGTTCAGTCATTAAATTAATTAGTCGACCAATAATTTTTTGGATCATTTAGTTCAATCAATCAATCAAACACTCAATAAATCAATCATTCAGTCATTAAATCAGTTGGTCAACCAATCAATCTGTTGACCATTTAGTCAACTAATCAATCGGTCAACCAATCAATGAGTCAAAGTATCAATCAATCAGCCAACCGGTCAATCAGTCAGTAAGTCAATCAATCAATCAATCAATCAATTAATTAATCAAACAACCAATCCATCAGTCAATCAATGAGTCAAACAGACATTAGTCAACCAATGAATTAGTTAATTAGCTAGTCAGTCAAACTATAGGTCAAACACTCAATAAATCAATCATTCAGTCATTAAATAAATCGGTCAACCAATCAATTTGTTAAGCATTCAGTTAATCAATCATGCAACTAATCAAACAGTTTACAATCCAATCAAACAGTCAACCTATCAATCAGCTGACCATTTAATGAATCAATCAGGCACCCAATCAATCAATCAACTATTCAATCAGTCAATCATCCAATCAAACAGTCAACCTATCAATCAGCTGACCATTTAATGAATCAATCAGGCACCCAATCAATCAATCAACTATTCAATCAGTCAATCATCCAATCAAACAGTCAACCTATCAATCAGCTGACCATTTAATTAATAAATCAGACAACCAATCAATCAATCAGTCAAACAATCAGTCAGTCCTCCAATGAAACAGTCAAATAATCAGTTGACCATTCAGTTATTTAATCAGTCAATCAATCAAATTGTCAATTATCCAATCAGTCAACCAACCAATCAATCAGTTGACTATTTAGTCCATCAATCAAGCAATCAATTAAACCATGAATCAGTCACGTTCAAACAAGGTTTTCTTCTAACATGACAAATTGTAAATTCAGCTCACCTGAATGCTCACCTTTCTGTAGTTCCAAACCTGTATCATTTTGTTTTTCTTAAACTAAATTATACATATGTGTGCCATTTTTGGAAATATAATAATTAAAACAGTTCTATGTGAATGACCAAATTGATCATAGTTGTGAAAAGGAATGCACTAGCTATGAATGGACTATATACATACTGTAAAAGAAGTTTATTCAAGTGTCCTATTAGTACATGTTAAACTGCATTTTCAGTTATTACTTCTCAGGCAGATGCCTAAATGTACACTGATATACAGAACTGCTCTACCTTTGTCGAAGAAAAGCTTTGTAATTGATCTTAATGATTCTTACTCGTGTTTGGCTCATGGCATTCTTCAAACATGAACACAAATTCACAAAGGTCAGAAGTTTCATATGCCGTTCGAAAGCAATTGTGTTGAAAGTGGACCAACACATGTACACCCTGAATGCGCATCATCCACTTCTGATTGGATCAAAAACAACAACTGTATTTTAAAGGGAGAGTTCACCCATGAATTTTAATTTCATAATTTACTCACGCTTCTTTTATTCTTTCTTTCATTCACAACAAGATATTCTGAGAAACCAGCAGCCATCAATATCCATACATTCCAGGATTGGCCAGCCCAGTCACCAGACATAAACATTATTAAGCATGTCTGGGGTAAGTTGAAGGAAGAGGCATTTAGGATAAATCCAAAGAATCTTGATGAACTCTGGGAGTTCTGCAAGAGCGCTTTCTTTGCCATTCCAGATGACTTTATTAATAAGTTACTTGAGTCATTGTAGAGATGTATGGATGCAGTCCTCCAAGCTCATGGGAGTCAAACACAATATTCATTCTTTTTCCACTGCACCACGACTTTATATTCTATACTGTACATTATTTTTCTTAAGTGACACACTTTAGTCTAAGCAAAGTCAGACCTTACTGTCCTAATTAAATAATTAAAAATCAAGGCATGATCATATTTTATTTTGGTACAGTACGTGTAATCTAGAGGCCTTTGCCTTTCATACAAGTCACCTCTGATATCAAATGATCAACTAGAAGTTATTATTCGTTGTTCCTAAAACTTGGATAGACGACAAGACTTTTGTCAGGTAGTGTAGTAGGAAGAAATATACAAAGGCAGTCATTGGCTGCTGCTTTTCTGTAGTCTTCAGTATATCTTTCTTTGTGTTCAACAGAAAAAAAGGAACTAGTGGAGGATGAGTAAATATTGACATAATAATAAATTATGGTTCTTTGGTAAACTATAAAACCAGGTATAAACAGGGCCTAAAAGCTCACAAAGGGGGTTACTGAAAAAATAATTGACCCTGATGCCATTGACTGATTGGTTATGTCATGTGGCAAACAATTTTGAAAACCACAACATCTTCCTGACATAACAACGTAATATAACTTAATTTACGGTCTGTTTTTTATGGGGTTTGGCACACTCTGAAAATGCTGGCTTGTTTTAACCCAGTCTTATGTCAAATATGCACTACTTTTACCAATTGGTTACGGTAGGTTTATCCATATATGACAGAAATTTAGCATTTTTTGGCCATTTTTATGGTTTGCAGTTAGTATAGTAAAGATTTTACAGTATGCCGCCAACTAGCTCTCTGCAACTCTTAAATTGTCGCCCACTAAAGCTAAGCTAGGTGTGCGCCCGGCCAGTACCTGGATGGTAGATCACATGGGAATGCCAGGTTGCTGCTGGAAGAGGTGTTAGTGAAGCCAGCAGGGGGTTCTCAAATGGTGGGGTGTTATTTGTTCCAACGCCCCAGTATAATGAAGGGGACTCTATACTGCTCAGTGAGCACCGTCTTTCAGATGATACGTTAAACCGAGGTCCTGACTCTCTGTGGTTGTTAAAAATCCCAGGATGTCTTTCAAAAAAAAAAAATGGGGGTTTAACCCCGGCATCCTAGCCAAATGTGCCCTCTATCCATCATTGCCTCCTAACCATTCCCATGTCACAATTGGCTTCATCACTCTGTCTTCTCTCCACCATTCGGGTGTGGTGGTCTGGTGCAATAAGGCTGCCTTTGTGTCATCCAGTTGGATGCTGCACACTGGTGGTGGATGAGATTCCTCCCAATGTGTAAAGTGATTTGAGTGTCCAGAAAAGCGCCATCAAAATGTAAGGAAAAATCATTATTTGACAGGAAAGCTGCATGCTCCCGAGTTACAGTATAATCTGTGGATGAAATATAAATATAAAAGGGATGGACAGAGATTCATTTAGTGTTGTATTTTGTAGAGTTCACTCTAGAAAAATGCCAGTAAGAGCTGAGTGATATGACACTATGCATAAACGTGCATTGAACAGCTATTCAACAGTATACAGTACATGTTTTTGTTGCCTCATTACAAACATACACACTTCATTTCACAACATACACATTAAACCAACAAAAGATACTGTTAAACAGATATTATGCCTCTTCGGGGGCGCTGAATAAACTTATAATTAGTCTTTCCCAAGTTTTGTGTTTTGACCAACTATAAACAGATACAGTTGACTTACCCCAGAGCCAATCTCTTTCCTACTTTTGAAATAAGACCTCCACATATAGGGCTGGGCCGATAAACCATATTATATCGAATTGCAATAAAGTTTATGTCAATAACAATGATATGCTCTGGACTTTTACTCTGTATTGATCCAAACGCACAGCAGAAATGTGCAACAATGGGAATCTAAAACTGTGTTGATGTTATATATGTATCGCATTTTTGGCCAACGAAAATTTATCATCCGAGAATTTTTTTATATTAAACGTAATCGTTTAATATAAAAGATAATAAAAGAGATTGATTGCAATTTTGCCAGATCTCCCAGCCCTAGGAAGAATACAATTGTTGTAATTTCACTAGGAAACATTTTAGCCAATTAAACGTTCTGGGGTGTGCATTTTAAATATGTTTTCTTCTGATTGGCCTGTTTTTCACTAAGATTTTACACTCACAAGATTTACATGACAACATGTAAACAATGGTGTTTGAGACTTATTTCCATGTACTGAACTCTTATAATTCAGCTATGCCTGCATATATTCAGTTTTACATATGGTGGCACATTTAAAGTGCAGTATCAAACAGAATGCACTTTGTACAGTTTAAAACATAAGCTTAAACCAATGGATAACGCCTCCTTTTGTCTTCCACAGCAGAAAGTCATACAGGTTTGGAACAGGTGAGTAAAAAAACGTTCATTTGAAGTATTTCTAAATGTATTTGACTGTACTTAGCATGCTGAAACATATTAAATGTGATATGATGGCTCAGCGAAATGCCCGTTTTCTAAAGCTGTCACATAAGAACTGAACTCCTTACTAAATACAGTGAACACAGCAATGCTTTATGCCATATAATGTGATGATATGGATCGATATTGCAGCTTATGTACGAGTTCATTCAAGAGTCCACGGATCACTCCTAGTACCTTAAACCAGGTAAAAAAATAACTAGAGCTCCTGCCAAATATTGTTCTGTACAGATTCACTCATGCAAGTCTTGATTTGGCAACATTTGAGTCTCATTCTCTTTACTCCTTGCTAACGACAGATCCTCCACTCCAGGTTTGGACTTGTTCACATCGCACACAAGGTAAATGGTATTTTCTGGCCTGTTTTTGGCATCGGTTGGACGGCAGATGTTGGATCTTCCACAGAAGCGGCTCAACTGGTTGACTTCTCGTTTAAAGGTCTTGCTGAAGATGTAATAGATGAATGGGTTGTACACCGTAGACGTCTTGGCGAACAGACAAGGTAGCATGCTGACCTCAGCAGGGATTGAATCCCCGGGCCGGTAGATGGACCACAGGCTGACGATGCCGTATGGTGCCCAGCATCCAACAAACCCAATGCTGATCAACACGGCGATCTGTAAAAATGAAGAACATTAAAATTAGATCGGTAAGTGCATCTTTAAATTAGGCTATTTTAAACATTCCTAATTTGGTTTTGATATTTTTTTATTTGATATATATATTTACACCAATCCAAGGTCCAAACAAATTGTCTAATAATATGCATTGTAGCATCAGCAATTGGTTCAAGCATTTGGTCTCTCTAAAGACTACCTTTCTGAGACCTTTTTCTGTTCTGATTAGTTAGAACATAGGACATGCACATTACACAGCAAGTCGGAAACCAAACATCCATTATCGTGTCTGTATTGCTGTGCTTGTAAACACATTAATATAAACAATAGCTGTTGGGATGATATAATATTATTACTTTACATCAATCGGCAACCTCCCCCTCTCCCTTGGGAAGCCTATCCGGAAGTAACTTAACTCGACTCGCCTTGGGGGGTTGGCTCCAGGAAGTCCAGGTGATTTCTGACTGCATTGGGAAATTGGCCAATTTTACAGCTGATAAAAACATGTTTACAATCTAATACAAAAGATGACTTTGGTGCATATAGCTATGATTACTCTTCATGACTTCTGTGGGGGAGTGAATTTTTTTATAACTCATCTGTTTTGTTTTTATTAAGTTATATTAAGTCTGCATAATTAAGGGCGTGGCCACTTGAGTGAAAGCTAGGTCTCGCTGTCTCGTCACCTAAGCTGATTCTAGCTAATTAGCTACTGAACTCGGCATATACATTATATTTTTGTTTAAGTCAATGTTTCTTTACACAGTTAATTGCCTTTTGGGATTTTTTCCTACAATTATCAGATGATATGGCATGCTGTGTGCACTTTATTGTGCTCACAAACCGTTCAAGTTGCCTCCATTTCCCAGGTGAGTGAAATTATATACTTCTGTACCATCTCTATAAATGTATTTGTTGTATTTAAGATCATTTATAATTTTCTTTAGACCTGTAAAGCACTCCAGAGTCTGACAGATTGATTAGCTCTAGGCTCTAGAACAGTCATCTGAAGTGTTATCATAGTGTTATGCTGGATTTCATCAATAGCCTTGCATTTACTAACAGAGACTATATTTGAAGTGTTTGGACGTAATTCGCGTTTTCCTCCAGTAGAAAAACGTCATAAGAGCAATGCTTAATGGCTCAATGTGTTACAACTCTGTTTTTAAAAGTCTAAACACTTTATTCATATAGTATACAACCAAGCACATGTGGTCAGAACACAAACGAGTCACAGGTGATAAAGTATTAAGCGTTTCTCCCAAAGTAAATTCTGTCTGAGCCAGGTCCAAGCAAAATGCCAGCAGGTGTCTGCAGCTCTGCTCACTCTCCGCCTCTTTGCCCTTGTTTGGTATCCCGCCGCAGGTGTGATGATGCCGCGCCTACTTGTAGCTTCTTTTGTAGTGTTCAGAAACCTATGGGGGACGTCACCAATACTACATCCATATCTTTTACAGTCTATGGTTTACATACAGTGTACTCATTCATCGAAAATTCAAAGTGTATTTGTTTTCACAGTGCAGAAAAGACAATAATAATAATTTATCCAGCACTTTGATTATTGTAACTTTGCAGACCTTATAATATCCAAGAAAGCATACAGGTACACTATAGGAATAATCTCAAATTCAATGCCTGCAGGCCATATTCAGCCCACCAAATCATTTTACGTGACTCGCGAAAGCTAATGATTCACACCAAATGCAAATTAATGTATGCGTACATGTAGATTACATACAAAGTCCAAGCAAACTGGAAGGTGCAAATAATTTCAGAGATCTTATGCGTTAAAGAAGGTTTCATAATATTACAGCCCACTCGGGTAGACTATTCAACAGTTTCTTTTCACAAGCTTTTAGAGTCCTCGACTCTAATCATCTTAGCCCCCTCTGAAATATCATCCACAATCCCAGCTCTCAAAACTGGGATCCCTTTGCCTCCCCATCATACCAATCTACACAAAAACCTCAAAACATTCTGCAATTATTTTGGTAAAAAAGGTGTAATCTTTGCTTTTCATATAAGCCACTACTGATACCAAATGATCAACTAGAAATCAAGTTATTATTTGTTGTTCCTAAAACTTTTTTAGGCGACAAGACTTTTGTCAGGTAGTGTACAGCTATAATAACTCAGCCAGACTCACCACCATGAGCCGCCGCTGCATCTTGATCATGTTGGGGACGTGGTTGCTGTCGTCCATGCTTTTATAAGTGACGTAGAGTCTCAGAGCGATGCCGCAGTAGCAGGACACTATGATGATGGCAGGCAGGATGAGGTTCATGAGGAAGATTGTGATGACGAAAGACTGGCTGTGCTCTTTCATGTCTCTCCAGTCCAGAGTGCAGGACAGGCCGAAGGGCTCCGGGCCGTATTTCCCCCAGCCGATCAGTGGGAAAATAGCCCAGAGCAGAGCGTACAGCCATGTGGTTGCCACTAAAATCTTTGCGTTCCTTTTGCTGATTTTCTCCTCTGTGGAGAGACACAAAGTTTTACAGATAATTTACCCAAAATTTAAAATCTGTCAATGTTTACTTGTCACACAAAAGGGTTTGAGTTTCTTTTTTCTGTTGAACTGAAGTTATTGATATACAGTGGGGGAAATAAGTATTAAACACCTTTGATAACGCAGGGAAAAAATATTAAACACATGAAGAAAGGGAGGTATAGAAAGGCAGTGAAAGCCCAGACAGCAGCTGAAATCTCTCAGTAGCTCTTCAGCAACCCTCTGCCCTTCATCTTTGTAAATGAATATCCGCTGCTTCAGTCCAACGCCTACATTAGCAGGATGATGAAGATGAAACCAGGGTGGACATTTCAGCAAGACAATGTTCTAAAACACAGCCAATTCAAATGTTATCACTTGACTGATTGGCATTATCAGTGGTTATTAGCTGATAGATATGGGCCAGTAGGGGCCAAAATATACTAAAACACCAATAATATACTAATAGTAGGTTCAGAAGGCTGTCATCATCCATCCACATAGTTAATCAGCTATAGATCACATATGGCTGTGGTCAGAAGTTAACAAAAATTATTTATATAAATGATTACATTTCTTATTAATTGTGTTTTATTAACGTCTACCCCAACTCTAAACCCAACCGTCACAGTAAATGCAAAAACAGATCTGGAATCTTCTCTGTTAGTATAGCTGATTAACCATGATCGTTTTTTATATTATTTATTACATTTATTAAAGTATTTGGTTTTACTGATATGGAAGTCGGTGGTTGCAGTTTTTAAACATTTTTCAAAATTTCTTCTTTTGCATTCAACAGAAACTCCTAATTGTTTGGATTAAATGATAAATAAAATAATGTCCAGTTTAGGGTGAACTATCCCTTGTTTACCCATTAGATATATTGTGAAATCGGGGGGATTTTGAGGGTTGCAGATGAGCTTTTATTTTAAATGACAAATGACTTTGTTTTTGTGTTCCTTTTGCACTAAAGCAGTGAATTAAAAAAAGGACTTTGTAGGATTAAACTTTTATTATATCATTTTTTTCATTTCTTGTTTTTTATTCTTTCATCTTTTGCTTAATTTTTTCACAAATGAAAAATGTTTAATAATTATTACACTTTGAATACTGTATCAGTGTATTTCCTATTATTTAATATCTTTGTAGATTTGTTTATTTTGTCTGCCTGTTTATATTTTTTGTCTTTTTATTTTAATTATTATTTATTTTCATTATCCTGTTTCTTGATTTTCATTGGTTTATTTAATTTAATTACTTTTAAAAATTTGATTATTGGACTTTTATTATTTTATTTTGTTCAGTTTGCTTTTGGTTAAGCGTATTTATCATTTATAGCTTAATGTAAATAGTTATAATAATATTCCTATTTTGTAATTTTACAATATTTTAATGTGTTATTTTATAATTTTTTTTTGCTATATTTCATTCATTCATTTTCCTTAAGCTTAGTCCCCTTATTTATGAGTGGTCAAACCGCCAACTTATCCATCATATGTTTTACAATGCAGATGCCCTTAAAGCTGCAACCCAGTACTGGGAAACCCCCATACACTCTCACATTCATGCACATATACTATGGCCAATTTAGTTTATTCAGTTCACTTAATCCGCATGTCTTTGGACTGTGGGGGAAACCGGAGCACCTGGAGGAAACCCATGCAAACTCCACACAGAAATGCCAACTGGCCCAGCCAGGAATCGAACCACAGACCTTCTTGCAGTAAGGCTAACCACTGAGCCATTGTGCTGCCCCATACTTATTTAGTCAAATTTTATATTATTGATACAATCACCAGTGATCCGGCCTGTGCAGATTGCTGGTAAAAACACAGTATTGCAAAAAAACTACAAATTCGCCATTAAATGGACTACAAGATCCAGTCATGCACCACTCTAACACATGGCCGAGATCTCCATGATTGCAGACAGACACAGCTGAAGGCTTCTCATGAACTGATTACTAGGACTATTTATACAGCACACACACACACACACACACTTTTGTGTTTTAGAGTCTTGTTATACTGAACTGTGAACATTTCCTTGCCTTCCGTGTTTGAACCTTGCTTTGTTTTGATTGTTTTACGTTGTCTGCTGCCTGCCTTTTTACCATTTGCCTGTTTATTGACCACGACTCTGGATTTCTTATATATATCTGTTTGTTCCTGTGTTGACTGTTGCTTGCCTGACCATCCTGCTAATAAAACCTGCGTTTGGATCCGCACCGCCCTTTTTTAGCGCCCTCTTCACATTACAATTAAATTCTTCTTTCAAACAAAATGTATTAATTGATTTATTTATATATTAATTTATCTTCTTTGATGTGCAGCTATTTTAATGCAACAATTGCAAAATAGGCTTAAATAGACTTCTACAGCACGCACAGTCTTGGTAGATAAACAAGTGTTGTCATCTTGTGCCTGCAAGCATCGCCAAGGCCAACTAATATAAAGTCATTTGTACAAGGTGACCTCTATAACTGCCTTCATACTGAGCTCAATGTTTACTTAATGCAAACATGTCTTTGGAAGAGCCTGAGCTGAACCTGTGGTTATGACAGCAGCACAGTGTGTTTGTCTGCTTCATTTAAGAAAAACACTGAGCTGCGAACACACTGACTGCACATACTGAGTGTTTTCCCAGAGAACTGAGGAATGTGTGGTTTTCCAGATTATAAATGCACAAACAAGCCAAATCCAACAATAAACTAACACAAGCGAGATTTACATCTTTTATTTTTATAAACAGACAAGTACTGCTCATGAGAAATTAGCTTCTGTTCTGTTCTTCTTCTCATCTGAGTGGCTTTTGGGATATTAAGGCCATACTTGCCATAGTTTTAAGGGTGGTCTGTGTGGTTGCCAGTGGTGTAAAGTAACTAATTACAAATAATCAAGTTACTGTAATTGAGTAGTTTTTCTCAGAGATTTTAATTTACTAAGTAGTTTCAAAAATGTGTACTTTTACTTTTCCTTGAGTACATTTTTAGTGCTGTATTGGTACTTTTACTCCACTACTTCAACCTGCAGTCACTACTTTATTTTTTTTTTTGTCTATGGGGATTAGAAAAATCTGTCCTGTTATTTCTGTCCAATCCAATCACATACTGTATAGAAGGTAAATTGCATCATAATGAACTACCTCAACACATGTGCACTTTACATTGCAGCAAACTGTTTGGAAGCATTAAAATTGTCCAAGAAGATGTTTAAAATCTTTACACGCATTGACCCAGAGACTGTTTAAATCAGAGATGTCCGAACACAGTCCTGGATGGCCGGTGTCCTGCAGATTTTAGCTCCAACTTGCCTCAACACACCTGCACGAATGTTTCTGAAAAGCCTAGCATGAGATTGATTAGCTAGCCCTGGTGCGTCTAATTAGGACTGGAACTAAACTTTGCAGCACACCGGCCCTTCAGGACAGAGTATGGGCACCCCTGGTTTAGATGCATGTCACTAATGAGAAGATGATGGATATTTACTATATGATGACCGAAATGGCCTTAAACACCCAGCATGCACAAGACATCAACATGCCGTCAGATTGAAATTGTACCCTGACGTCGTGGAGATGCTGCATTTTGTTTGGAAATGAAAATTGGGTTTACATCAGAACTCAACGTCAGCCCGATGTCAATGTCCAACCTAAAACCAACCAAATATCAACGTCTAATGATGTTACAGCTTGACGTTGTGTCGACATTACCACTATGACATCTATTAGACGTTGAATTTTGGTTGCCATAACCGATGAATAAATGTCAGTATTTGACGTCAATATGACGTTGGTTTAAGATGTTGGCTCGACATTGGATTTTGGTCACTTTCTAACAACCTAAAATCAACCAAATGTCAACGTCATTATGATGTTATATGGACATCAAATATTAACGTCTTATGACATTGTGTGCCTGCTGGGCAATAACTAAATGCACTACAGAATGTTACGTTTACACACACACATCCACAAATTACATGTAAATGCATCAACTTTTAACAGCATAATATTCACTACTCATGAGTACTTTTAAAAGGGATACTTTTTACTCCTACTTTGAGTAATATTTACAACAGGTACTTTTACTCTACTCACACCACATTTTTAGGCAAGTAATGCTACTTTTGCTTAAGTATGCTTTTTCAGTACTCTTTCCACCACTGGTGGTTGCTAGGCCATTTCTATTGCTATGCAGTTGCCAGTGTCTTCTGGGGGTTTGCGGGTATGTTTTGGATGTTTTTTTAGGCTACTGCGATGCAGTTACTAGGGTGTTTTGGATGGTTGCTAGGATTTTCTATGTGATAGCTAGGCCATTGTCATTGCTATGTGGTTGCCAGTGTGTTCAATGTGGTATATTTTGAGAGTTTTAGGGTATGGCTATGCAGTTTATAGGTTGTTCTTGAAAGTTGCTAGGGTGATCTTTGTGGTTGTTAGGCTATTGTCATTGCTTTGCTGTTGCCAGTGTGTTCCAAGTGGTTGCTGGTACATTTTGAGTGTTTTAGGGTGTTGCTATGCAGTTACTAGGGTATTTGCAGTCGTTTTCTGGTTGTTTTTGGTGTTGTTATGTGGTTGCCAGGGTGTTCTAAATGGCTGCTAAGGTGGCCTGTGTTGCTAACATGGTGTTTTGGTTGGTTGCTAGGGTATTCTGGTTAGTTGGTGTTTATTGATATGCTATTGCTAGCTTGTTCTAGGTGATTTCTGCTATATTTTTAATGGTGTTGCTATGCAGTTACTAGGGTCCCTGCTGAAAAATCCAGCTTAAACCAGCCTAGGCTGGTTGGCTGGTTTTAGCTGGTCAACCAGGCAGGTTTTAGAAGGGTTTTGGCCACTTCCAGGCTGGTTTCCAGCCATTTCCAGCCTGGTCTTAGCTGGTTAGGCTGGGAGATGACCAGCTAAAACCAGCTAGACCAGCCTAGCAGGCTGGGAGCCCAGCCAAAACCAGCTATGTCCAGCTTAAACCAGGCTGGTCAAGCTGGTTTTAGCT